CAATAGACAAGATAGTTTGAAAGATTCTGTTTATTCTGGCACGAAAGTTTTACAAAAAAGCTCTTTTGCCCACTTTCATGGTGAAAAGGTCTTCTAAAAGCGCTTGTATATCATTTTGCTCGCGCTGCAAGCACTAACGCGCTATTCGAAATATCCGAGTTCGAGTGCTCGGGCAGCGAATTTTTTCCTTATTTTTCATTTAATTTTGTTTTGTTATTTTTTATTTAATTTTGTTTTCTTATTTTAATTGATGCTCTTTTAATTTTTTCGATGTTATTTTATTTTTAGTTTCATTTTTAGATATTATTATTGAGAAAGAAATATTTTTTGATTCTTTGCATTTCTTCCAAATTCAATTATATTTCAATATTAAGATGTTATTATTTTAGACATATTTTTAACTTATTTTATTTTTTTCATTTCAATTTTCTTTCAATTTTTAGACGATATTTTTTAAAGAGATTTTTTTTATTTAATCTAATTTTTAAGAACTTTTATTCATTTTTCAAATAAATTTTTCATTTTAATTGTTTCTTTTCTAACATTTAGATTTTCTTATTTAAAAAAATAACAATTTTTTAATAAGTATTGAATTTTTAGAAACTTATTTTATTATCTTTTTTTGGTAAATGAATTTTTTCTTTTATTTTAATTACATTTTCTTTTAACTTGCAGGTTTTAGTCTGTAAAAAGTAAAACTATTTAAAAAAATTCTTTATTTTTTAGAATATTTATTTCCAAAAGACAAGCAGACCAGACCTCCTCGTTAGCACATCGTTCAATTAGTCTTTCGAGATACAAAAAAGAGCTTTCGTGACAGTTGCCAGAATTGTCAATTGTCTAACGAAAAACTTTTGTCTTTCGAAAGTTTGTGGTGGGTTGAAAGACAATTGCCAGAACTACCTTGTTAAGATGAAGGCATCGCATGGACATTTAATTTCCTACCGGGATATGTCTTTTGCGGTGGCATTTCCCCCGAGGGTGGATTTTCTTTATGTTCAAGATTTGCAAAGCTAATCGATTTAATAGCGTAGTAACAACTGTAAAAGCTGTCTTATGAATTTAATTGTGGAAATAGGCAAAATAAATATTGCATAACCGTTGTTTGTTGTTGTGCTACACGAATAGCGCACCAACAAATTTGGGATGTGGTAAACTTCTTAGTAACAAAACGAAAACAGTTAAATACTCATCTAATAAGAGGTAAAGTTTTTTGGATCACAAGGACGAATAAGTATTGAAAATGCGCTTTTAATAAATTTTATCTTTTTAAGTTAATAAAGTTTGCAGGACGAAATTCGTCGTGCGTATATTAGTTCTCAAACAATAATTTTCTCAAAAATATATATTGCAAATTTTCAAGGATATTTAAGGACAACATGTGTAAAGGATATTTTCCACGCCCATTCGTCCTTATACACAAAAAAATTTATTCTGTTATAATTTTTTTTTGTTTTATATGATATACTTGTTGTTATCCTACATTGCACCGAATTTTTTTAATCATTTTTTGAAATAATCATATTTTTTAAATTTCGTTTTACTATAATTTACCCAAAGCATCGCGAATATAGTCCTTTTTTCGTGTGTGTAAAATTACCTGTCGCACGGTGTAATGATATGCTGCCAAGAAGAATGCTAACTTCACTGGTGCATATGTATACATACATATCGTCGTTTAGAGTACAAAACCGCGTATCAACAAAATGCAAAATCGCGTATGTAAGGTTGCCGAAATTATTTTCTAGAGTTAAAAACACTCATATTTCAAAATGGTTCTCTTTTTTATAAACAATCGCATTTCTACCTAGTATATTTCAGAATTCAGGATTGAGCCGAGAGCTTGTGTGAGCAAATCCAATTTTTGGCAGCCAATGTCAGTTACGCGGTTTTGCAGAAAAAAGACGCTACGCGGTTTTGCGGTTTTGTACTTTAAACGACGATATGTAGCTGCGCGCATACATATGTGTATTGAGCACGGTTTATCAGCACGTTTGTTAAACACGGGTCAAAATACTGTTGATGACAGTTACATTTTTGCGCAGAATTTTTTCACTAACGCCGTAATTCATTTCTCCTGGATTCTTCTGTTAAATATAGCTCAACAAATGTGCCACTTACGAAATTAAATATGGAAAGGAGCGAAAAACCTGAAATAATCTAAAATGGACCAAAATAGTAAAAAAAAAAAAAATAACAAGAAACTAGCAATAGTTCCAAAACGACTAAGTCAGTGGCAAAGAGCGTTTTCGAACGAAAGGATGTGCCCTACATAGAATATTTGAATTATCCGCTTTCCCGTTAACAAGGACGAATAAGTATTGAAAATGCGATTTTAATAAGTTTTATCTTTTTAAGTTAATAAAGTTTGCTGGACGAAATTCGTCGTGCGTATGTTAGTTCTCAAACAATAATTTTTCCAAAAATATATATTGCAAATTTTCAAGGATATTTAAGGACAAAATTTGTAAAGGATATTTTCCACACCCATTCGCCCTTATGCACAAAATTCATCTTTAATCTTCTTCTTCTACTTCAATGGCTGTAAAACAGAAATCTTATTCATCTTTGCTCGTGGATTAAAAAACTCCTGTTAAGCAGCGTGAAACTTCGTCTATTCGTCTATTAACTTAAATAAATAGTAGCATCAAACTGCCGGAAAAATGATGAGACGAGACTAAGACGCTTCTATGTAACAGTAAGTATATAAGAGGTATCTTCTCAACAACATTATAAGCGTAAAAACACAGAAACACTGTATGCCATATTGTACTTTCTGCTGGTAGAACTACGTGCCAAACTGGTCGCAAGCGGTGCGGAATGAAGTGGTCAAATACTAGTTAAGCATTAACGCTGCTGCTTTTCCAAAGAAACAGCCACCAACATTCTCACGCACTCACCTACTCGCTCACAAGCTCACGCATTTACAAATGTACATATGTTAGTCAGATTTAATTAAATTGATTTTAAATTCCTAAAGTGCTGGCAATGATCGTCGAAAATATTTACGAATGTCTCTCGTTTTGTAGCCATATTAAATTTTTTACTTAAATTGATATTTAAGTTCATTTAAATTTTTCGAACGGGCGGCAACCTTGCACAGATTTGACGTGCGTATCGTCAAAAAAAAATTATTTAATTTAACTTGTCAATTAAATTGATTTTGCATTTCTAAGCAGGTAGCAACCCCCTTTAAAAATATTTGCGAAAGCTTTCTTAAACCTCTCTTATTTGGTGCTCACATTCAAATATTTTTTTAATTTCTTTCTTTAATTGATTGTAACTTTTTGTACATGTGGCAACCCCCTTAAAGAATACTGTCGAAATCGATCATTTTTGGAGACCTTTCGTTTGTCACACACATCGTTGTGGTATTTTATTTAGCTTTTAAATTAATTGACTTTTACATTTTTATTAGGTGGCAACCCCCTTAAAAAATGTTTTCGAAACAAAAAGTTTTGTAACTTCCTTCTTTAATACCCAATAGTTGTAATATTTTAGTTAGCTTTTTAACTAATTGATGTCAACCTTTATAAAGGGTGGCAACTCCCTTCATATAATATCACATATGCTAATCCAGGCTACAACCTATCTCCTTGCCAAATATCATAGAAATATATGTATATCACTCACTCATTAACAAACTTACACATTTATTAGTTAGTTTTTTTTTTCTTCATCTTCTATCTGCTCAACTATCTTTTATTAAGTAAGATTTTGAAAGACTATCTAATTTTGGCGTGTGAGCAAAGGAAAATTTTTAAACAATGCTCACCATTGTAAGTTTAACGTGAGAAAATCAAAACAAAACAAAACAATCACACAAACAACTCTGAGTGCATCACACGAACGCACGCCAACGTCAGAAGTCATTCGCGCCCAATGGAAACTCACACAATGTGCATACGAGTTTGAAAACTTTTCGCGAATCTTGGTATCAATAATTGTTTAGAGCGTAGCATAAATTCCAAAATGACGCACGAAACTCACGTGCACTCACAGGACAAAACAAAATACAGTGCAATTAAGCGAAGGTATAACACAGCGACAAAGCCACAGCTAAACAAAGTTGCACACTAAGAAATAGCAGCGCCAGCAAAAGTCACGTTGCTAACACTTACACCTCTGGCCAAGGCGCAATCCTTTCTTCAGCAGCGCCTTGTGCATTGACTGCGCCAGCGACGAATGTGTCTGCTGGAGTGTAAGAAAGCAATCGCTGTTGAATAATTGCTTGAATAGGGTGCGAAGTGTATGCAAAGCTGCGAGTTCACACTTCCGCCTGGTCGCGTGTAAATACAGAAACGTTTCGCCGCTGCGCTCTGTGCAAAGTGTGCTGGACGGTCACATTTAGCCGCTCCAAAGCTGCTGGACATCACGCCAAGCACGCGTCTTTGGCAGCTGTCAAACGTATGTGACTTTGGGCACTGGTGGTGGGCTTGGCATTGTATGCATTTCAGGCCGCTGGCCGCTTTGAAGATACATACATACATTATGAGCGCAATGTGTGCTATGGGAAAATTTTAGCCAAGAAGCTTTCAACAACACTTAACAACAAACGTATGCAAATGTAATATGCCAGTATGCTTTGAGTTTCCGCACACGATGCAAAACGAGACCAGCGGACGACGACGACGACGACGACGACGACGACGATGAGGCACACAATCGCATACACTCGGAGAGCGCAAAGTTCACGAACACTTGTTGCTACTGTTGACAAAGCTCGCAAAATCACACACTTCACACTTCGTTTGTGCACAGCTCACGCGTACGAATACTTTCGAAAGTTTCTATGTTACAGTTATGTGCCTTATGCTGCGCTGTTGTTGTTGCCGCTAGCAGTGGCGAAGGTTGCATACGACGCAAGTAAGCTTCGCATTGGCCCTCGTAACGATGTTGCGGTAATGAGGACGACGAATGCGTCCCTGACTCAGCACGGCTATAAAAGCGCCAGCGATTGCTGGTAGCAGACATATGTTCGTCGCGCTTCAGAGCTGAAATATCTCAGTGAAAATTGCGGAATACTTATACAGCAAGTAAAAGCAAATACCGTTGATATTTGAAAAGCTAAGAGAACTTTTTTGAAGTTTTGAAAGAAAAACTAAAACATTTGAACATTTAAAGTGCAAGTGTCAGCAAGCAAGCTATAAAAGTGAATTGCATATTTTGCAAACAAAAAGACAGTTTCAAAGAACTCTTAAAGAAAATATTTTGCAAAAAAAAACAATTTTTCGCAAAAAAGCGTGTCCAACTAACAGAGACCAAAGTGTTTTTGAAAAAGCCAACAAATCGGCTCAAAGAACTCTTGCATTAATAATTGTGCGAAAACCACTAACTTACCAGAAGTTCAACAAACAAAACGCCAAACACAAAAATGGATAACTCAACGCCGCAAAATTGCAGCAATCAGCAAACGACATGCTGCTCCAAGTCAGCAGCAGTTTCAACTTCGAAAAACACTACATCCTCACCCATACACGACGATCACAAACCCTCTTCCTACTCATCATCTGCATCGTCTTCCAGCGATAGCAAAATGCCCAAATTCAAAACCGCACGCGATCTGAAAACATCGCGCGGTTTCCTCAGCTGCATCGGCAAGCATTTAGGCTGTCCTTTCCTCCAACAAACTTCACGCCAAGCAGCGCAACAACAGCGTCATCCGTACATCTACAACAGTCAGGATGATTTGCCCAGCTCCTCGACCGATTCATTCTCCCTGAGCTATGAGCGCGCTTCGCATTTGGGCTTCCACTTGACGGGCTCAAACATCGACTTAACCCACAGAGCCGCCGATAATCTGGCGCATCAGTCGAGCGTGCAGCCCAAACAGCACACTCACCGCCAGCAACATTCCCAGCACGCTTCACGCAATACACTCTCCTCATCGGCGTACAGCGGCTCATCTTATTCGCCTGCATTCTGCTCATTCGATGTTGATTGTTTGGTGGATGCCTACAATGGCGATGGCGATGATGAAGCGGATGTCTGCGCCTCTCTAAAAATGTACCATCACCAGCATCACCAATCCGATGCACATGTGGCGCATAGTTGCAGCAGCTCAGAACACAACACCGATACGAATAGCAGCGATGAGGATGATGAATGTTCCACTCATGAAGAATGTTGCGAGCAGCAGCAAAAGCGCAAAAATAAACATGAACAACTGCAGCACCACCAGCAGCAGCATCACCACCAGCAGCATCAACATCAGCAAAAGCAGTCCACCTCAACGCATAGACGTCTACATTTGAGCCGCCTCTCAATCGCTTCGTCAGTGACACGCATGCTAAACCATTTCGCCAGCAGCACGTCGATGAGGTCGTTGTCGTGCAGCAGCACACCGCTACGCTGTTTCAAGGATGCCAAGCCGAAGGAAGCTGATGACGTAGTGCATTTGAATGGCAGGAATAAGAATGAGGCCAAGAAGCATAGCTTGCCGAATACGTTGTCTGCATCGTCGAGCGGTAGCAGGAGTAGCAGCAGTGGCAACAGCAGCAGCGGTAGTGGCAGCGGCAGCGGCAGCGGCGGTAGTAGCAATCGTTCGATGAGCAGTAACAATAACAACCGCGCCAACAGCAGCAGCAGCAGCGGCAGCAGCAGCACAGCTAATGGCAAGAAGAAGGAAAAGAAGCAGCAGAGCATCTTGCGTCCGCCAGTGCACTACGTCTACATGAAGGGCATGTCCGGCCTGTATTCGCGTGTGCCGCGCTACACTGTCTGCTCGCCTTATGCAATGCATTAAATCGACGCCAGGCGGCAGGCGGTGCGCAGAGCACGTTAGCGTAGGATAAGAAACAAATTTGAAATTTGATGAAACTGAACACAGACGTATCGCAAAAGAGGCTGATTAACTAAGTATTGTAGTCATAGACAGAATAAGCTTCGGAGAAGCCGTTTATTTTTCCACGTAGACAGCAAAAGACTTGTAATTAAAAATTCATTAAGTATTCGAAATACACGTACTAAGTATATTTATTGTAGTCGCAAAATACTAGCAGTAAGTTTTTAGGCGTAAGCAGGCAGTTGTTTAGGTTCGAATTAAGGAAGTAAAAAAGAGAAAATAATAATTGGAAATCGTAGTGCCTCGAGTTAATGATATGAAAGGTTATCGAATAAGATTAAATGTATTTATGTGAGTCTAACTGAAACAGGCAGTGAAATGCGAAAAAATGCAAAACTAAAAAAAAATCTAAAAAAAGACAAAATTGGAATGTACGGAAGAACTAGTTTCCGAATGAAAAAAAAAACAGATTCACTGAATGAAAACAAAATACCAAAAAAAAAATCAAAAAATACAAAAAAAAAATATAAAAAAAATACAAACAATTGGTAGAAAATTAAAAAAATAAGCACTACTAGTAACACCATTGTAATAGTTTAACTAAATTAAATGTAAAACTTTGCAACTTTCTTCCATTCAAAATTGCATTTTTTCTAAAAGAAAGCGATATATTTAACTAAATGAAAATGCGAAAGTCATTCAAAAAAAAAAGCACTGAAAAGTTCAAAGTATTTCTTCCAAAATGACAAGGAAAAGTATTCAACTATCAAATAGTTTAAAAGCGAGCTGTATTTAGCTAAAAAATTGAGACTATAATTAACACTTGAAAAAATTGATAATTAAAAAAAAAAAAAATAAATAAAAATGTATTAGCATAAGTATATTAAGTAAGAAAATCTATTTTTTTTGTGTTGTATGACACATCTTTTTTAAATAAAAACTGAATTTTTGAAAACATACTCACTGCACTATACTTTCCAATTCGCTTGCAAGAATATTGCATACATTTAGGGTGATAGAAAAAATTATTACTCCGTTGATTATTCGTTAATTTTTTGATTTTATTTATTTTATTTATTTCTGATTTTTTATTTCTTTATGTATCGAGTTAACAATTTTTATTTTTGTTGTCTACTCATAGGCGTATAGAAAACCAAATCATGTAAAAAATTTGTCTGTATTGGCTCTTAGGATAACAAGGACTTTTTTCTTTGGTATGCTTTCAGCCTTTTGTGTATTATTTTTTTTTCTTTTTTCACAATCCTAAAAGTATGCACTTGCCTTACTGAGCTTTCAAGAAACGCAACACTACTTCACACTTCGGCAAAGTTAAAAATTTACTAGCTTCTCAAAAGCAAACTTTATTCTGCTAAAATCCAGCATACATACTTACACACCTATAAAAACGGCTTTAATAAAAAGTATATCCTTAATTTGAGCCTTTAATGTTCTAACACTAAACTCTTTCTCAAGCCAAGGTAAAACAAAAGTAATTAAAGGAATGCTAAACAAAGAAATTTATTATAATAAAATAAAATTAATAAAGCAAACAGTATTAATTAAATTTTATTAAAAAAAATATATTTACAATTTTTAAATTTCTATCAATATACAAGAATTCTAAAATTATTAAATAATATTTTTTTCATTTTTCTCAACAACTAATAAAAATATAACTTTCTACTTTCAAAAATTATCAAGTCTGCAAAATTCAGAAAACCAGAGTTGGCTAGTAAATTTCTTTAAAATGTATAAAATTTCTGAATAAAATTTTTATTTTTTTCAGAATTCTAAAAGTATCTATTCAATTTTCAAATTTCCACCTCTTCAAATTAGTTAAAAACTAAAAACAAATCCAGCGAAATCTTGCAAATTAAATAATTAAAAAAAAAATCTGAATTTGTGAAAATTCTTAATTGAAAATTTTCAAAAGGCATTTCCTCCATACTCTTTTTACCGATTAGTAAAAACAATTTACTTTTACTTTCAAATTTTAAATCTTAAATCTTTGATTTATAAAATAATTCCCATTTATGAAAAAAAATATTTTGAATTTGAAAATTCAATTATGTATTCATAAATAAAATTCTAAATTTCTCAAAAAATTTAAATATTTATTTTTGAAAATTTCTAAATATAACTTTCTTCAATTTCCTTTTAGGACATTATTCAAATAATATATTTTTTTTTACAAATACATTGATTCAAATCTGGACCAATCATAAAGTTCGATTTTTCAAAAATTAAGTTTAAACTGAAACTCCGCATCTTAATTCAAACATAAATAAACGATTTGAAAAGTTTAAAAATGTCTGATTTTGTAAGTTAGCAAAAAGTTTTCGTTTGGCACTTAAAAAAAATACAATTCCGCGAAGGCTACGAATAGTAATTAATTTTGGCTAAAGTCTGAAAATATTTAAAAATTTTTCAAACCTTTTACAAAAAAAATTTTCGGAGTTGTAACAAAATAATCCAAATATTTAAAATTTTAAACTAGACATCTTCTTTGCGAAAAAAATTAGTTTTAAAAGTTTCTGAGCAAGAATTTTTCAAATTATTCAAATTAATATGAACTCTCTCTTAAAAAACATCGAATTCCCACTAATTATACAACTTTAATTTTCATAAACGAATTAAAAGTTTTCAAACTCGATTTTTTTTCATCGTAACTAAAAGATTCAAAGGCTTACGAATTCCTGATTTTATAATTGAATAAAAAAATATAGAAAAATTACTAGAAAAATTATTCTACAATTTATTTCAAAATTGAATACCTTCTCTAATAAAAATTGTGAAATATCATTTAAAGGATTTTCTTTAGAGATTATTTGACAGGAGACAAAATTTTGGTTAGTAAATTAAAAATATGCCAATTTTTTATTTTTTTTTTTAATCAAAGCATGTTAAGCTTGGCAAGAGAACGGATTTAGTATTTTATCGAAGCTATACTTCACATAAAAGCTAAAAATGTATGATGCCAATATTGAAAGTTATCAAAGCAAATTAAAAAAAAATACAAAAATTTAGAGTGATTTAAAAATAAATCGAAAGCTAAATAAACATCAAAAAGCATAGGACTTAAAGAAAAAATTGAAAAAAAATCTATGAAATATGAAAAAACCTACTTATGTACATTGGTCTAATATGAAAACAAAAACAACAACATGGCTGTCAAACAGTGGTATACGTGGTGTTTCTAAATATAAATATTTACTAAACAAACTCGTTAACTTATTTGGTATTATAAGCTTTGTCGATATGTAAGCTCTTATTTAATACCTAAGTAAAAAAAAGTGTATAACAAAAAAATAGATATATTTACAAATGTAGCTTAATTTTCAACTGAATGTGTAGCTGATGGTATTTATTAATAAAACTTAAAAAATTCTATCAGAAAATCTCTCGCAAAACTACTTGTTTTCATTACATTTCCCAGCTAACTTTGCACCACAGCTTGCCACATGCTTGTTGCTACTAAAAAAGCTCATAGCAGCTGATTTTCCGAAACCCGCTAATTTGGCGCGAGTGCACGCGCATCGGCTAGGGCGCACAACTCTGCTGTAACAACCGAAAGCTGTACTCTCGCTTTGCTTTCGCTAAAATTTCACTCTCCAATTTCTCTCACTCACGCGCTAACTCTGCGCATGCGCCATTAACATTTGAAATTTGTTGTGGGAACACTTGCCATCGTACCCGAGTACACTTCACATTTGGCACGTCATCGACAAGTACTACAACAGCAACAACAACATAGCAGATATCTGACGACACACCTTCTCCCATACAGTGTTGCAAATAAGTATGACACTCAACAAATGCAATGCACTTCTGAAGGACTCCTTGTTGACCTTATTACCTTTTTTTTTTTTCGATCGAACTTAGCCAAGTTAACGGCAAATGACGACAAACATTTCCTTGCTAACGGAATGCCAATGATTCGAAAGTGCTGCGGTTGGCAAAGCATTTGAATATTATCCGGCAGATACACACAACAGCATGGGCCAAAAAAAATAAGTTCAAAAATCAAAATTAGAAGGTATTCACATAGTTGCTGTTGTATGTATGTATGTATGTATAGGTGGTGAAGGCAATGCAATGTTTACATAGTTTGCTGCCGGTTGAGGCTGAAAATAGTAACTAAATAACCTTTGCGCGAATGCTGCTTAAAGTGACGGCCAATTCGGCATTCGTTTGAATACAGATAGTATCTACATATGTATGTAACTGTACAAATATATATGTATTCACAATACAAGCAACCTATGTATGTATGTACATCCGTTTAGACATATTTATGTATAATTGCACTCGTAGTACAGCCGCTAAGGTCCTCTTTGACGTAGCTGTTCGAATGTTGGTGAGCCAGTAGTTCTGCTGCATTTGCAATTTATCATCTCAGACACCGAGAAACGCATGAGGACAATATATTTGGTATATTTTTTTTATCGCTATTTTTATCGATATCGGTAGCCATCTTTCAGAAATCGATTAATCTATCACCGGCATGATTATAGCTTTTAAATTGAAAAATTTCAATTTTTTTTTGCCATTTTGTGTACGCTATTCCAAGCTTTTATTTAACAAGCGCTTTGAAGCGTTCGTGATAACAATGCAGTTGATAAAACTCTGCCGAAAGAATCAAAACTTGAAACAATAAACCCGAAAAGCTTTTCTCGCCAAACTTAAATTCAGAAACTGACAATAGGGAAAAGACAGAATCCAGAAAAATCTATGACAGACAAACTAAGTAAGCAAGAAGTACAAAAAGTGCTCCAACGTCTCATCCTCTTCAAGGCAGGATGGACAAATGGATTTGTCATTTGCCACGTGGACTGAACAGTCAGCAGTCAGCAACAAGTTGCATGCAGTCCCGTCTATACATGAGAGCAAAAAACTAAAAAGGCCTTCCGAGATTCAAGGCAACATCAGTTTTGCCTTAAGTGCAGCTTTACTGTCCCTGCAGACAGATAAACTCCTTGCCTTCCTCCACCTATTTTCCACCATGTAGTCCATGGCTTTGAGGATTGCATATCCCCCCCGTCGAGTCTCCCGTGGACCCATGGGGATCGTCCTGGACCACTTTGGGAATCACTGGTCTAAAATTATCTTCTTTGAAGAAGCAAATTATTCGTATTAATCAGTGTAATTTCTAACTCGATTTAAGAGCGATGAACAGTTGTGCTATCTACATAGAAGGATCATCTTTATTTTCTATTTGAGCTTAATTAATTGTAGGAAAATCAATGTCACATATAAATTCTTAGATATTTTACCCAAACTTGCGACAAACTTTTTTTCTTACCCTACAGTGTTAGTGTCGTTTACATCTTTTAATCAATGGCGCATGAAATTATCTTATGAATATCTACATATTGCACATACGCTATGCAACATTCCCATATACATATTCGT